ATGATCAGACAATTCTTTGTGAATGCATCCGGCGAAGGGGCACATTTAATTGGCGAAGGAGATATTTATGTCAAAGAAGTCACAAATAATCTCAATATCAAACCGTGTCAATGCAATCCGAATGAAGTCTTTCCATTTTTAGGTAAATTTCTGGAATAATTTTCGGCTACAAATGTCCTTTGGAAAATGAAAAAATCCCCTCTATTCTAGATATAATTCTTCGAGGAATATACTTTCTGTCGCTTTCAGTGAAAGCGATGGCGATATGTGATGAAGGGTGGGCATATCTGGCTGAGACGGACTCGTGCTATCTTCCGGTTACATTTGCAATACTTTGTTCCAGGATGCCCCAGTGTCAGGGGATGGGTTTCATCGGGGATACTGTTGAATGAAATGGAGTATACGAGTCTTGTTACCCTACGGTATACCAGTAGAGGGAATATTTCAGGATGGAGGCAACAAAACAGAGGATTCGTACTGATTAGAGAGTTTAAGCAGAAGTTTTTCTTGAAATGAGATCCNGATGAAGCTATTGCGGGTTGTCGTCAGTATAATTCAACTGTCGCATCGGTGCATTCAAGCGATGAAATGAACTTTATCAGCAACGGTTTGCCTTAAGTTTATCCCATAAGATATCTTATGGGTCCCGGTCCATACTATCTTTATCGTCTCCGAAGGATAGTCAATATCTGATTAAAAGCCTGACAGCAACGATGACATTGGTGCCCCCTTCAGCGATATCGCTAGTACAGAGACTCAGTCTAGTGGTGTACCAATGTCATTCTAAAGCAATAATGGATAGCAATGACAATAATAGAGTAATGATAAAACTGCTGAACACTTCACTGTATCACTTCAGATATATTCCACTCGGAACCACGTAAGTATTGGCTCGGTGGCAAGCAAGATACGAATATATCAGCGTGGTATTGGCAAGATAACTCACCGTTCAACTATACTAATTGGCATCCGGGTCAACCAGACGACTACTTTCCACCCTATCCGATGTGTGTAGTGGGTAATTATTATAATAATAGCCAATGGGCTGATAATACTTGTAGTGTAGCGATGTTTGGACCGTGCAATTTCATTTGCAAAAAAAATGCAAATTCAGTTGCACCCAACGAATTCAAAACAGCTGAGAAGGCGCCATATCCCGTAACTCTTCCAAGTGCTCTTGAGGCCTATCGAGCAGATCTCTAGAAACTAAAATGAACTCTTCTGCCCTATCACAATTCTGCTACTCATAATGATCACCTTTATAATGATAACCTAAAAATAATTGTTGAATGAAAATGTAACACTAGTGATATAATATAGTTCATCAAAAATGACTTGGTGATTCCCAATGTTTGCGAGTTCCGCACTTGAAGGAACTGAAATTTGAGATTTGAGTAGAGCCAGAGGGCTTGAGGTGATCTGCAAGGGAAGCAGCGTGCAAGGTTGGTTACCATCTCTCACAGTGCTTGGCAACGGGATGGGAATGAATATCCCAGTTCGAGGAGGATTTGAACAAGTGGAATAGGAGAGGGGGAGGAAGGGTTCATATTCAATGAAATACGTCAAATGGTCATCCAAATAACTGCATTCAAATATTACTATTGCACATTATCATCGATCAGAAAATGAGAAAAAAAAACATTATTCTTCAATCGCAAATGCTTATTCGATATGACGTCTAATAAATTGTTTCTTATATGCGTATATTGACGAGTGCGATTCATTCAGCATTTGTATCTTATTATTATTATTTTGATTATTATTATCGTTTTGATTATCATTTTTGCTATTATTATTATCATTATTCTTATTGTTACCGCTACTGTGATTCTTGATAGTACTATTATTATCATTAGTATTGTTATTATTATTATTACTATTATTATTATTTTGTTATTATTATTATTGTATTGTTATTATTATTGAATCTCCATTATAACAAAGCATTCTTTTAGAGTTAGTCATTTTAAATGTTTTTTAAAATGTCTCCTCACATTCCAATCAGCGGCAATTCTCCGTCACGTTAGTCATTCTCGATGAGATTGTGCAGTCAGACTAAAATGTGAATTCGATGTGTTCAGGTTGACTTTTGAAACATAGTATGTTGATGTTGTTGAATTGGATGAATATGCTATGCGAGAGCAATATGCAACTCAATTTACAATCGTTTGCAAGAAATAAAACGGGAGTTCAGTACCATTCAGCGAATTCAAAACCACTGAGAAGGCGCAAAGACAGCGGAAACAGTCGTGAATCTTACAGAACAGTTCGATGATCGTCTGCATTCAGAAGCAGATCTCTAGGGACCCGAACAGAGCTCTTTTTCCGACACAATAAATATACCGATCATAATAATCACCTAAATATTCAACAACAGCAATATTATAATTGTACATGTATAGAACTATAATACTGATATACCAGTGCTCATCAAGTATGTGTCAATGACTTTCGGCCCTCTGCAGCTTAGAACTTCATGAAAATAAATTCAGTTTATTAGAAAGTTGATCAGTGTGCTTTATTAGTTTCTATCTCGCATCATGCTTGGCAACGGGATGAGAATGAGTTTCCAAATCAATGTTCGAAGAGGATTTGGAACCAAGTGGAATGCGAGAGCAGGCTTTGGGAGGAGGATTCTGTCCAACAGAGAGATTAGATTCAGTGAAATATATTTCGCGGTCTTGAGCACAATTTTATGTGAGTGGATACTATGTCGCTATTCAGAAAATGAATGAAAAAAACCCATCACGTTCCAATCACAACGCCTTATCCAATGTGATCTCTAATAATGTACCGTTTCTATACTGAAGTTATGGATTATAATTGACTTTTGCATGCACATCAGCTAATAAAACCAACTGATCACTGCAAATGACACTTCATTTGTATACTCCAATGCTCTCTCGTTTAGGCAAAAAAAGTATTCACCACGATCCAGAAGTCCTTTCCAATTCCTTTTACCGATCATCAATTTGGTGCTTCCTGTCGAATCGACGGTGCGGTGAAGTGAAAACGTAACCGCTGAAGGCGTCTCTACCGGAAGCTCTTGGCCTTTGATTAGGACATATTTTTTGTTGACGTTAGCCAGACTCGAGCGTATGCCAGACTTATGCCTGAACTGTGGTGACGATTTTGCCTGATAGGCAAACTGTCCGTAGATAACCGGGTATCTTTCTAACTAGTGCTTGTCGTAGAAACCAGTCATTGAGCTGGCAAACATTGCCCGCGCCCTATCCATCATTTGTCGAGCGAGAGGGCAACAGTCCACTGTTTGAGCAGTTCCAAGGGTGAACTCTTCCTAGAAGATACTGCGTTGGTGACCTACTCTCAGTATACCTTAGCTAATATACGTTAGCCGCAGACACTTGAATTCAGTTCTTGCTGCTCACAATTTATAATAATGTCATGTAAGGATATGGAGATGATTGCAGAGACGGTGAGCAGTCAACAGACTCTTTATTGGCACTCTGTATCAGCAA